GACGCACCAGCAGCTGGAGCCCATCGTCACCGAGGTGTTCAGGCGGGCGGCCACTCGGGCCCCCCCCCACGCCCTCTTGCCATCCTGTGCCGTGCTGGTGCGCCACCACTCGGCCAGCGCTGGCCGAGTCTGGGCCTTCTTGTCCTCCGCTCTCTGCGCCTCCTCCGCGGGCTCGGCACGGCGGGCCACGGCGCGCACGGCGAGGGCGCGCGACTTGCCGAATGGTGTCTGGAATCGACGGAGAGCAGCGGCTCAGTCATGAGCTTTCTGCGCTCCGCGCGGATCTCTTGGATCGGCACTGGGCCTTCCTCCCCGGCGCGCCTCCTCGGAATCGCCCCCGGCGCGCGCAGCGCGTCCGTGAAGGGGGCCCCAGTTGCCGGTCCACGAAGTCCGCGCAGAGCTCCGAAGGTTTGGCCAGTGGCTCTCGGCCCATGCCGCCACCGTGCCCGAGCTGTGGGTCGGAGGCAGTATCGTTGATCCGGCCCCCATCCCCATCCCCATCCCCTTCGAGACCCCCACCAAATTGCCCCCCCAGTTGGGGATGCACCCCTCGAAACCCGAAGGGAACGACCCATATACCTCCATCTGGGGGGCAAATCGGCCAGTGAGACCCAGGCCACGCCGCTGGGGATGGGGATCGGTTAAACGATACTCACAGAGTTGTCAGGGATGCTTCTCAGGGTCTCTTCGGAGGGCTCTCGGGGGCCTCTCGTTGTGGGCAGCTTGGGGGCCTCTTGGGAGCCTCTTGGGGGCCTCTTGAGGGGCCTCTTCGGGGCCTCTTGGGAGTCTCTTGGGGCCTCCTGGACGCGTCTGGGGGCCTCCTGGGAACCTCTTGGTGCGGAAGGATCGGCTTTTCGGTTCGTGTTCCTCTCTTACGCCCCTTTTGGGGCCGTCGTGGGGTCCCTTGTGGGACCGTCGCTCTAAAGCGAACTGAGGGACGTAAGGAGTGGAAACGAGCGTGCGCCCGCGGTCGTGTTGGCTCAAGCGGCCGGCCGCCCAGATTTGACTGTGCCTCATCACGAGGCACACTATCGCTATCGAGACCAAAAGGATCTTCCTATTGCTTGAGATGGCTTGTCCTCTCACATTGGGACTATCGTTGCTACGATACAGCAGAGCGGGAGCTTAGCTTCGCCTGAGGCGAAGCTGTTGACTGGGCCTTCCAGCCCCCTTCAAACTTGATAGCGGAGCTCGCCTATGCTAGTCAGCTCTTGCTCTACTCCTCACCATCCACGGCACTATCTGGTGGACTACGGATATGGTGGAACATCAGGGTGCAGTGGGATTGCGCGGGGGAATGTGTATAACTACGCAGTACCGCGAAGAAACTTGCAGCGGTACCTCTGTTCAGGCAGAGGGTCCTAACTCATATGCTACATCCCTGCGCTATTACACTCCTGAAGTCCACCCACTTACTCCAATTGGATTTTTTTTTTCGAAAACATAATGCATGGAAACATGCGATGCGATATACTGCCGCCTCCGACCCGCGCATATTTACGACAGAACATAAGTCCCCACCGACTACATCCGACTACGACCTACGAGGCCATTGGATCGGGGTTACTATCTTTGGGCTCATATGGGTCGCTCTCGGGTGTGCCGGTAGGACATATGCGGGGCGGAGACGACGCGAGAACGACTGGCCCCGATTGGGATCCTGCCGGTCAAGTATAATTTCGCGAATTCGTCCGCGAAGTACATGCCTGGATCAGCGTGACCACAGGCAACATGACACCCTCCCAGCAGGCCGCCGCCGCACAGCAGCGCGGTCTGGGAGGGCTCGCGCCCGCCATAGCCATGAGAATCCCCCCATCAGTCATCAATTTTGGCGTCAATATAGGCGGTCGCCACACCGACAGCGTCACCTACACTATGTTCCTCTTAAGTACGAAGTTCGAGAACCTAGAAGAGGAGCGCCAACTTAATTCTGGCACGGCTCTCATTGACTTTCGAGTCCATGCGGGAGAACGTATCGACCAGACGTTAGCACGGTTCCAAATAGCCCGCTACGAAGCTGAAACCGCCAGCTTCAACATCCCCAATTTCCAAATATTAACAGTAATTCTAGTCAGAGCTTTTGGAGTTGGGACGACGCGTGCACAACAACTCCTGCAGCCTCTCAACCACCACATGCCGAGGGGCCGCGCGCAATGTGACGCTCTACCCGAACGCGTGCGGTCATATGCTCATATAGCTGAGAGGACCCCTGGCAATTTTGGTATTTTCAGTCACGGTCACCGAACCGAGACTTTCCACGCAGAGGCCAACGCGGGGCAACTTGCTAACAACGTCTGGAACGACGATGCACCGCCAGCTGAGACCACTATACTGTTGGCTCAGGATGATGGAGCGGCCTCGGGGTCGCAAGACTCCTGGGCCAGACTCAGGGGGCCGCCTGGCGCGGTTTCCCTTATGCAAGCTACGACCCCAATGGGCTCAGCCGTGCAGCCCGCCGAGTCCGACTTCGTCTCCGGTACCGATGCCGATGCGTCTTCTGATGATGAAGCTACCGCCTTGGGTTACTCTGATATGCCCACGTGCCTTACAGAAGAGCAGCAAGCTCAATTGTTATTTTTGGGTTATCAAAAGAACGAGCGTCGGTGGCGGAGGTTCGCGAAGAAAACGGCCAGAAGGGGGGTTCATGGCGCGGCGGACACTTCGAGGAAAAGGCAAGGGTCGAAGGGAAGGCAAAGGTAAGCGTCGGCGACTACATGGTAGAGGCATACGGGCATTCCTAGCGTCTCTCGCTGGACCTCAGTACGAAGAATTGTTTGTAGGTGCTGGCAGAAACCGTAGGCGTGCATCAGGTGCAGGTAACGGGCGACGAGGAAACCCAAAGGATGCCAACGGTCAAACCATGGAGTGCGACATCTGTCACAGTGCACAACATTGCCGACGCGAATGCCCCCGAGGTGATGGAAGAGGCAGGGGTCCGTCAATATATCTGGCTCAAACGGGCTCCGACATGCAGTATGTCGATCGGGGGTCGCTTCTAGCCGACCCTGCCGACAGCTCAGCCACCGTTGTTCATTTCATGGCTGCCAGGTATCTACGTGCCAGTATGGCACTCGAGAATTACGCCGACGAGCTGTTCGAGGAGGTGTTCGCTGGCCACGACGACATCGACTTGGCAGAGTGGCTGGGTGTGCCCATCGCAGGGCAACCTGCATATTGAGTTTGTCGACAACTTCCATATGCCCGTCGAAGGCGACTTCGGTGTGGCGGGGGCGCCCGCGGATTCATTCCTGCAACAGAGGAGGGAGTGCATGCAATGCTCTATCCTCGGGTGATTGGAAAGCCGACAAACGCGGAATTCATCGATGATGATCCATTGCGGGGAACCCGCGCGATGCTGGTGATCTATCTGAGCGCATTCAATATGATATTGGGCATAATGAAGAATTTTCAGTGTATTTTTGTTGCGTCAGATCGGTCTGCTAGCGGCCCGAGGCGAGCTCCGAGCTGCCTACCCTTGATGAGGAAGATACATCGCGATTATCCAATTCTCTCCTCAATGGGCGGTGAGGGCGAGAAGGGAGACGATGGCCGTGTGGTACGTCGCGGTCGAGCTGCTAGTCCCGCGCCGGATCGAGCGCGAGCTCGCTCTAGTGGTGCTCGTTCGAGCGGTAGTCAGCGTCCTCATCGCCCTCGTGCGGGGGCCTCAAGTGGCCCGCCGGGGCAAGCGACAAGAGCGCATGCCCCTCCGGGGAGGGGTCGTCTGCGGGGAAACCCGCCTCAAGATGATCAGCGTCAAGGTGGACGATCTTCAGGCGGTGAAGTGCAGCGTTTGAAAGGCTACGCTGCAGCTGGATTGGCTCGTCAGCGCATGCCCGCATATCAGATGGAATTTCTGGTTGAACAGGGCCGGGGCGAGCATCGACTCCGACGCTGGTATTCTCTTCGTCAGGCCAAACGAGATGATGATGGCAATATCATTCGCTCAAAGAAGGGACATGCCAAACCGCAGGAAAATATGGTCGTGCGTGATCTCGAAAGGGCCATCATCGAGGATCGAAAGCTCTGCAGAGGCGTTTGCTGCACATTTCCCAGCTTTGCTGATCGCAGGCTTGGCTGCCCCATGACGCCCATCAAGAAGCCCGAATTACCAAAGAACACCGTGGGTTTGGTCTCGTGGAGATGGTCGGGGTCGTTGCACTGGCCCCCACAAAACGCCATATCATGAGCGTCTGACGGAAAGGGATTGCGACCCCGCCAATCGTGCAGATAGCTCAGACAGAGGCCATTTGGCAGAACTTGATACCTACTCACTATCTGGTGCAGTGCAATCGCGATTGGCGTGCGGGGAAACCTGCTCACCATAAATCAGAAGCAGAAGAAGAAAGCCAACGAGAAGCTGGTGAAGATGAAGATGTGGAGATGGCTGAAGAAGTTGATCCTGCGGAAGCTGCCATTGACGACGGTGAGTCATTCGATTCGGGTATTACGGGCGCTGCGTGTGTGACGGATGCTCCGATCGACCCCAGGTACGTTGTCGCTGGAGATATGGATCTCTCCCCTGAGAGGCGGATTGCTTGCCGTGTTCAGGCCATTGGCTGGGCAGCGACGCGCAATGTCGAAAGACGGAGCGTCGATAAGTACCTAGTTGCACATGGTAAACATGGACACAAGGTACCCATTAAGAATGTGGCTCTTAGGAAGCCAAATGGCAGCGATCTGAATCCTGACCGAGGTCCCAGAAGGCGCTGTAGACGGTATGTACCTGGGGCACCGGCAGGAGCTGCGGCACAGGCAGCGCCCAAGCCGAAGCCAGAGACGATCGACCTTCCCTCGTCTTCTGATTCTGATTCTGATTCATCAAGTCGATCTCTTTGCCCGATCATCCTAAGCGGAAGGGCCCTGATGATGCCAAGCCTGCGGGCAACAATCAGCAGCGATATGCGGGGCAACCTGCTGCGCGACAACGATCCAGAGGACCAGCAGTGGCCGCCGCAGCAGCTAGATTACAGGGCGCCAGTGCGCCCGCCCCACAAGAACCTGTGCCGCGTCGCGGCCCTGCACCAGGTCGGACGCACAGGACA